AATAGATCACAATACGTCTCCAGGAAAATTTAAAATTCCATGCTTGAAATTATATCTTGGACCTAAGAACACCAATGAAGTATATTACCAAGTTCACAATTAGGCCCCCCATCAAAACCACCTGGGCAGGTGCATTTATACGCATCTAATTGGTCTTCACGGACGCCGGCGTGTTGAGTTGGGTAAGATTTACTTACCTCTGAATTCTGAAATGTGATTGTATTAATAAACTTTTAGCATCGAAAATTAGAATTCCGTAAAAAAAGTATCAGCACTCATTTTAACTTTCGAATTATTTGTCCTTACATGGGGTAAACTACGCCACAGACGTCGAGATCCCATAACTGAATACAAAACGTGTTTTATTCGTATGTTAACATTTTCGGAAAACAAACTGTAAAGAAAAAAACATACCGATTTCACAATTTTGTCTCGTATAACCGCTGATACATATACGAAGAATGTCGGAATTACTGGTACAAGCGGCGTCATTATAACAAACAAATGCAGTAACACGGGTTGCTGGCTGAGCTGTTGCATCTGTGACAACGCATGAAGATGACAGATTATAAGTGATAAGATGAGGCCCCCTAATTTAGCCAATCAGCACAAAGCCAACTCCTGAGACTGTCGGGCGCCTGTACTACTTGTAACCAATGAATACAAAAAATGTTATTACTGTGAGTAGACTAATCAGTGAAGATTAGAATTTATTATAGCTATATGTGCGTTTACAGTACGTTTCTGGAAATGGTGAAATGCCACGATCGTGGGAAGATGGATCGTTTGACTGTGAAATGTTGGTATTTGAAAAAGGAATCTAAAAAACGCGTGTCTCAACTTGTCTCTTATTTGCTTTGAAGCCGTATTCAAGATGGCGGCCAACATATAGAAAATATCGTATTTATTTTATTCGCACTTGTACGCCAGCTGACTGTGTGCCTAACATGGATGAGTGGAGTGGGAGTGAACACTGTACACCTCGTGAGAGACGAACTGAAATTAATTACGATTGACGCGAGTGTATTCCTGTTGAATAGGGTGTGTAGGATAGAAGTTTCCAATATTACCGACTAATTGAAGAGTTTCATAAGAATGAACGCGTGATATATTGACATTGGTGGAAGTATAGTGACACTGTTGAAAGTAATTGACATATAGCAATTAGGGAAATTATCGAATTCCAGATTTACTTGTCACTGCATAGTACACAATCGTTAAGAGCATCATACCTGAATTCGCTACAGGCGACTTCGGGCGTTATAATTATCGTACTACATCTAATCAACTCATAATTCATGAAGAACTCCTCTCGAATTACATGATAGAATCGAGATTATTGAAGGAACATAATAATTGTATTTTGACACTGTGATGATCCACTGTATAAAAGAGTGTAAACGAATGTTGTGATATTGTTTAGCATACAATAGAAAAAAAACATTTTATCATCTAAATTATTGTTACACTTTAATTAATTTTTAGCGGATTATTTGAATTAAACTTGTTCAATGTATTTGATTTTCAACCCAGTGACCTATTTAATTTGGTACTTACGCGATTTTTATTGTTTAAGCAATAGGATTAATTTAAAAAAAAATAATTATTTAAATAATTTTGGCATAATTAAACACAAATAATCAATAATTGGTTCTAATTAACAGCTAAACTGAACGAAATTGGTGAAATACTTTCTTTCGACATTGCGTCTCATCACTGTATAAACAGAAAAGTCCCTCAAAACGCCATAACGCACTGCCTAAATAAGACATTAGCGTGTTGCGATGCACACTTACATACGCATTTCTGATTTGTGACGTCAAAAACGACATTCAGAATATGTTTTTGTTACAAATAAAACCCAGTTTTTCATAATACAAAGACAAAAAAACGGATCGGAATTGAATAATATTAATTTCTCACAACAATCCTTCCTGCCACAGTAAGCAAACACGTTATCCGTTACGTAATAACGCAAATGAAGACAGTTTGGAATAGCACATAGTTGAAACAAATTGAGAAGGGGCTATATTCTAAAAATATTCAATTCTCAGTATCATTTTCATGTCTCCTTTCATGTTGGTTTGATCTAAACAGTTTTCATCACATAGCGATCGCGCATAGCAAAATAGTCAGGAACTAAGATAGAAAGGATGCTGTCTTGGTGTGCGAACATGGCGGTGATAGTGAAGTCAATGGTTAAGTTTGTGTAGTTATGATTTGTCCATCAATGTCGTTCAAAAAGCTAAAACAATGAATACCGATTACAGTTAGATTACCATATTGGGGTTAGAATATGTATATAATTTGTATATGGTATATGCATTTGGAACAAAATAACAAATTTTGAAGTCAATTCAAACTGTAGCCTTTTCACAGTCCGTGTCTCATTTCTATGCGCAGGAAAGTTGAGGTTGAGAGAATTAGAAATAACTTTTCAGCTTTAAGCGGCTTCATATCGTACATTCGTTTTTGCTGACATATTAAACCATGAAATAAATTAGTCTAATTCATAAGTATAATTGTTAAAAGAATTGGACATAACATCATGATTACATTACTGCGGTGTCATAATAGAAGCTTTAGATTAAGACTGTCTGCAAAGTTGAAAGCTATGCCATATCACGTATTATATGCAATAAGCCATTTTCTTCGTTATGGAATTATCACTCTCGCCCATTGCTACATTGTACTTCAAGCAATGGCTTTAGTAGACATTGTGATTTAGTAAATGTTGACTCTCGTGGATGTATTAATGAGTCAGATAAGTGGTGTTTTTAGTCTTTCAACGAACAAACAGTGCCATGTTTGCTGTTAAGACTACATTTATATTGGAATACGAATCATACTATAATGTTATTTCTTACTTTCTAGATACAACAGCATGCACAATCGGCCTTATTAATTCAATATCCAACGTAGAAAAAAACAACATACCAACCACATATTAATATTTCTATATACCTTTTTCAACAACTTGTGTGTAAAATAAATAAATATATCTATTGGAAAGACGAAACTATTAAATAATATCCGTACGTAGCTTACTTTGCCCGTTGGAAGGCGGATTTCTTTGAGGGTAATGGTCGTAAACCCGACTGTCAATCCGACCACTGCAGTAGCAGTAGCAGTAACTGTCGTAATAAATGCTTTGATACGTAAATATTTGCTTTGTTTTTACGCTGCACCTGCTACACAACGCAAATATACAATATTTTTTGTAAATATTCACCAAAAGTAGTATATCGATGTAATGCTGTGGCGTCACTGACTTGTGGCGCAAGTACAAGTAATTATAATTTCTTACATCTTCTAAACTATCAGTTGCAATCGTGTCTATATTTTTTTCGTAGTGAATGTGTAAACATGACCAGCGAGATTATTATGTCTCTATTCTTTAAACTAGGTTTTTTGTTTGGCTGTTACGTACGTTGTATTTTACGTGGGAAAACAGTGTTTCAGAGCGCTTAAAATAGTGATTCATTCACAGTATACAGATTACTCATATATTGTTAGAGGCAGGGGTCAATAATTAAATAAATCTGTATTAATGTTATAAAGTTTTTTTTACCCCGAATCAATGTTGTCAATTTTGCATGTGATTAGAAGCTTCCAGTACGGCATGCTCTTATGTACACAAATGTTCAAGGTGCCTCAAAGTGTAACAAAAGCGTCACCGTATTCAGTTTTAATGTCTGTGTCAATGTATTTGTATGAAAAAGAATATCTATATACTGTTAGTTTTAGAATGTTATATCGCAATAAGTATGTATATTATTAGTTAGTAGTTAATTAGTGCTAGAATTCGTACGATTTTTATTCTGAAAATAATTTATGAATGAGAACATAGTGCGCGACAGCGTCGATGACGTAACTCAGAATACACAGTACTCAGTAAATGATATTCTGTCTGAACTTCTTGGCCATTTTGTATTTCCGGTGACTAAGTACAGTTGGCAATGATGACAGGAAGCATATCCGTATCAGTATTAAATTTGCACACACACATAGCTCCGATAGTACAGAAAGTGTGAGCATATTCTGCCCTTATTGTTGGCGCCGTTATTAATTTATTTATTTATTTATTTATTTATTTATTTATTTATTTATTTATTTATTTATTTATTTATTTATTTATTTATTTATTTATTTGTTTATTTATTTAGTTAGTTAGTTAGTTAGTTAGTTCCTTTTTGATTCTACGGGTAAATAATAAATCAATAACGACTGGACAGTGAGAAATAAAACCGAGAAACCCCGCGGGCAGACCAACACCAAGTGGCACGGACAATGGGGGAATCGAACCCCCCTGCCCTGTGCCATCGAGATAACAGTCATCCGTTTGACACATTTCTCGATTACAACAAGTGATTAGCGGAGGTAACAAACAGATAAACAATGAACAAGTGACGAGAGGTGAGTTAGAGACATGTACGACATTGAACGATAAAAATAACAAATGGTTGTACACTCAAATAATTACAATTCTAAAAATACTTAAAAGTACAATAAGTCTAATAAAAAGCAATTGAAAAGGCGGGTTTGTACAATTAAAAAGGATATTATTCAGCCATTGTCTAAGATATCGGGGATTATCAGTGAGTTGTCATCCAGGATTGCAATGGCATCATTAATGCACCACTGTGTTTCAAATACATTTAGAGACTTTGCGAGCTGGTGATAGTTGTATTCGTTAGTTACCCGATACCTAATTTTGGATTTAAAACACTGTAACACATTTGTTTGTACCCGATCGTTTAACCTTTTATATCGTGTTACGTGAGTTGCCACTTTCACGGTTGTAATTATGTGACAGAGCAAACGATGTGTAGCGGTTCGTTTGCTTGGTGGGCCTTGTACGTACCATAAAAGTGGTATAGTGTCAATATTTATAAGTTTATTGGTAATCAATAAACACTAGTTAGTTAGTTAGTTAGTTAGTTAGTTAGTAATTTATTTAGTTATTTATTTAGTTATTTTTTAATTGGATTTCTTTACAGTGAATGCTGATGTTGACCACATTGTTGCGTATGATACTAATAGGGATCTGATTCCTGTCATCATTGCCAACTGTACTTATTCACTTGAAATACAAAATGGCCAAGAAGTTCAGACAGAATATGATTTAATGAGTCTTGAAAAGCAGCTTGATGAACGACCATTACTTCAACACGAAATTCCTCGTCTCGTATTTCGTCACGATTGTAAAGATTCCATCATTCTTGACAAACTTCGAAGAAGAATACCTCAGGTAATTGCAAATATAAAATATATTTTTGTTTCGTTACATACAATTCAACGTCAACATGACCATTTACTCTGTAGAAATGATAAAAATACAAATAACATAATTATATTTCAAAACAAACACTAAATTTATCACTTTATTGGTGTGTGTATGTTATGCATTATATCATTCTCTCTCTTATTTCACCGTGTATTTTGATTCATTGTTTTAAATCTTCTGTTTTGATTTTCTTTGGGTTTTGATATATATTGATATATACATATAATGTGTTTATTGAAAAATATTAAACAAGAAGCAATATACCGTCTTCTTTTGCCATGAAAATGTATGTATCAAAGGCTTTTAAAAAATAATTGTTATCAAGTATGGAATCTTTAACTGATGTCCGCGATACACTTGCGTGTCTCGATATTTGCATCAGTTTACTTTCGGCTGCTGCTGGTGTTAAGCTAGACACACCTATATCAGGATATTTACTTGATATACTAAAGATGGATACAGATGTTATCAAGGTAACTGCATATACATGTTTTTATTTGTATTTCACTCCACGTAGTGTAGGAAAGGCGCAAAGCATTGTGGGAATAACAAATCAGACCGTTTCATTTACGCAAAGGCTCGCACCGCGATCACACCCAGTCTGTTGAACTATATGAAATGGTTCGTTACAATTACATTATTGATGGAAAAAACTTAAATATTGACACTTAATTTTGCAGAGGGATCGTAGTTTGCATTAAATTCCAAAATGGCGGCGTTTGAACAATCCAACAACGAAAGTCTTAAGTTAAGTTCTATTTTATAATTAAATAATTATTTTCAGTATTCTGTGTCAACGTGTCGTTATAAAATGACTACCGAGGATATAATGTCATTACGTGGATATATCGTGATTCTGTTTTGTTTTACCAGGTTAAACAACGGGCATTAATAGGCTGTACAGCGAGTTGCACAATGCTACATGCCAATAAGAGTAAATTAATTTAGTGGCAAAACTTTGGCAGTGGATGCATTTATTATATTGCACAAAAGATGTTGTAGCTGTTGCGACAGCCTGCTATGAACAGATAGGTAAATTTATACTATTCTTGATTTTTTTAAATGTTATATTTTGTTCGTTTGAGCTGTAGTATTTCAGTGTGTATTCTATTTGCCATGTTTTTGTTACACTGGACTCAGTAAACACTATAGCCATAGATTTTATGTTGACTTGCATCTTCCTCAAAACATGGGGATCCAAACAAATTAATATCTCAATACATCAGAATAAATTATAACCACACGTATACATGGAATAGATACATGGAAGAAACAAACATTTTCCCTTTTTTGCAGAGCTTTATCACATTTTAACATCTCCAAATTTAAATTATTGAATCGAAATCACTGCCTATTATTGACTGTTAGTGTTTTGGTCTTCCTATATTTTGTTTGAGTCTCTGTGTTTAGTTTATAAATAAATGAGTTAGTGTGGCTCGCATAAAATTCATATAATATAATGTATTTGTATAGTTTCGCAATAAAAAAGCTACAGGGAAAATATTAATCAATGAGTGGCCAGCTGCAAGGATTAAAGTGTGTGGCCAAGGATAAAGATTACATGAGCTTAGGATTAGTATAAACTCTGACATAAACATAACATAAACAATTTAAATAAAAGAATGAATTCCAAACTACCTATGCATTACATTGATTGTTCATCAATTATTTTATGTTGTTATTGCTAGATATGTCAAGTATTTCATGAATGTTATACTGAATTTAAAGAATTTTGGTATTACACCAAAAACAGAATCACGCCATCCACCAGTTATTATGTAAAATTTTACAGTGAGAACACAATAGCTTTACCGGTATCATCAGTTCTCATTAAATGATACATAATACAATAATAAACTTATGTCAAAAATATATAGTACGATGTCAAAAATCGCGAACCAGTTCACAACGTTTTGTACAGTCCCGAAAATGTGTTGACCACGAGGCAAGTATAATCAGTGATGACACAATGGCGTCGCCAGAGAACATAGGCTCCACGATCTGATGTACGTCGAGTTCCTTGAGCCCTCCATTGCAAAAGATCATTCACCGCTTATCGATCAGTTCCTGAGTCACATCAATTCGGTCATCGAAGACACAGTCCAACGCTGGACGTCCACAAAGTTGGTGCAACGCAATTTCGACAGTCACTTTGATTTCTTCGCGGTACGGGAATAACATAAGCTCGTCCGTGGGCTGCAACACATTGAACTCAATTTTTTCCTAGCTTTTCGTACGCCGACACGTTCGTGTTCACATTTCTAACACAGTCCCGCTTTCAGCCCCTGCCATCTTCTTCTCTGTCCTGCATCTGCTTCTCTTGCGCGCCGAGTGGCGTGACCTAGCGGGACGCACCAATCACTGCAGCGCGTCTCAACCGGAATCAATCATGAGGCCAACACTTTTCCATGACGTTACAAATACGGGTTACCATAATAAATAACGCACGGGCCCGTAATGACAAGGAATATAAAGAAAACTACATAGAATTAAGGCAAAGTAAAATTACCCTGGTTTCATGTGGTTACCCTGTGATATAGACTGCAATAAATTATGTAGTGTCATTATCTGATCAGTTTGGAACTCATTTATATTCTGATGATTATTCAGAAATTAGTTTTACTACTGGTAGTAGTATCCAACAAGAAGTATCTTCAGACGCTGAAACAACTCACACACTTGCTTTCAAAGTGCTTGGTAGTGCATACAAACAATGTTACCAAAATATTCTTGAGGAAGGTTCTTTAATGCTAAACAACTCTGAAGAAGTACTAGCAAGAATAGTTAGTGAACCAACTAATCCTATCAATGCACAGGCTATTGCTGTACAACTTAATTTAGGTCATGGATGGGGAGTTGTAGGATACATACCAGACGAGTTGCTGGAATATATTCACCCATTGCTGAATACAAATAAAATTACAGCAGTTAAAGTTCAGCACATACAATTTAGGGCAACATGGAAACGTATTGATATGTATGCAAAACTCCTTATAACACGCAAAGTGCATGGGACCCTTTTGTTGTCAGAAGGAGTCAGGTAAAGGAAGATAGCACAATTTAGCTTATTACATTTATTAATATACGGTACATGTATTGCTAATTTTCAGTTTTTTAGGGGGGTGCTAAGATGTTGCTTAAAGATAAGGGGATTCACCAGATTAGTATCTGGGGGAGGATGACAGATTCCCGTCGTTGCTGGCCTCACACATCAACTTTTCTCATTTTCGACATTTAGTCCAAAGCTGCAAGTTCAAATATTTAACTCCTGTGTTTTACTCACAATGGGAGTTTTTGCAGTTACATTATGTACCCTTTATGTAGGTGTGTGTCTGTCTGTCTGTCCCACCGATTTCTCAAGAACCGAATGTTGGTTTTCAATGAAACTTGGAGTATAGATGCTCTGGGCTAGTGTGCAAATTTGATTAGGTTTTGGTTGAAATCTGTACATATTAATAACCTGATTTGCATGATAATTAGCTAATTTTTAGCTGTTCCTGTTAGATTTTGATGAAACGTGGGACATAGATGCTCTGGACTAATGCACAGATGTGATTAGATTTGGGTGATAATCCACGCATATAATTGACCAATTTGCATAGTCAATTTTAGGCTTTTTCACTGGGTATTGTCAAGTACTATTACTTCATTACTTTTCAATGAAACTTGGTACATAGATGCTCTAGAACAATCTAAAGACCTGATTAATTTTAAGTAAAAATGAGTGCATATTATTCAATTTACATAATTAGTTAATTTTTGGTTTTTACACTGATATCGCAAGTACTAATTATCTCATTTTAATGAATCTTGTTACATAGATGTTTCAGGACAGTGCACAGACCCGCTCAGTTTTGGTATAATATCAGATCATATTAATTACCTAATTTGCGGTTCTAATCACATTTCAATAAAACTTCATAAATATATGGTCTGAGACAGTACTTATCTTAATTCAATGAATCTTGGTACATATGTACTCTAACACAACGTGATGATCAAATTGGTTTTAGGTTTATCTAAATCTATAATAATTACCTAATTTGAATAAAAAATTACGTTTCAGCTTTCCACTATTTTAGGATTAATTGTCGCATTAAAATCATTATAACTGTGTACATGTGCACCCTGAATCAATATACAGACTTGAATCTATGCATAATAATTCATTTGGTTCATTGAGGTTATCCACATACATTAGTTTCATGTTGATAAACATGCATATTGATTATCTATTATTAGTCCATTTCTGATATCTGAGAAATTTTATTTGAATTCATTGCAGAAGTACTCTGGAACTTATTGGACTAAAATCCATTGATGAAAAATCAAATGCATTTTATGTATGTATGTGTATTATACATTTTGATAATGTGAATCACATTTTTTTCACATTAGGCATCTACAGTAGCTGACAAAATTTATTTGCCAAGCTTCTTGTTTGAAAAGCAAATTATGAATTAATTTTAACGCGTCTCCAATACTCAGTACACAGGAGTTCTTTCTAAGCTTTATTTGATTTCATATTTGCTGCGATGATACTTGGGGTGATCTGTCAAAACATGCAAGTTGGATTTTTATTAAATATTTCTGATAAAATTGTTATTTTTGACACTCCATAAATGGGCAATGTCTACTCGATTGTACACTGTTTGACCACCAACTACATCTGGTAAGAGTTTATTGAAATTTGTTGCTTCGCTTCTAACTTTCAGCCTCAATTTAGCAGACCAAACATGCATTTAAATTTTGAATAAACTAGTGTTAGGGCGATGTGAATTGAATTGCGCTTATTATCTTCATGAGCGCCCAATACTCCCAGAGTATTTATGAAGGCTTAAATTTAATTGTGTAGAGTATTCAAGAGAACATTGGGCGTGCAAAATTGGTGTTGCACTGCTGGTATCTAAATAAGATATGTAAACTCAACAGTTTAATGAAAATAAATACGCATTAAAGAATATCCTTGGCTAATGCAATTCCTGGTTCTTTATTTTCCATTTATGAATGTTTGGCACACAAAATAATGAACCATATACAGTTATTTACTATTAAATCCTAGTGAAAATAAAGTATTGCACAGTAAATTAATGTGTGAAATAAGATTATATTCTGTCCATGTCTTATGTTGTATAGCTAAATTTTCACATTCAGGTCAAGCTCATTTAATATTTTTGGTCCAAATGATACATCATGCTTGCAAACCAGCTTTCAAATGCTCTACGTAGTATGTCACCCCAATGTATAATGGGGGGGGGGGTACCCCCACCAAATGTAAAGCAACACCTCTTTATTGGTGCTTAACATTATACCTTTATTTGTGGAAACATTTAGGTCTACCAGAACCCTCTATATCAGCAAATGAAATGACAACCCGTCAAAATAATTTGTACATTGGAATAACATCAAACAGGTTCCATTATAAATTGCCTATGCAACCCATGTATAAAACTATGAAGAGTCTAGTCCTTGTAACTACAATAAGGCTGATGGTTTTGGAGAAATATAGAAATGATCACCAAGAGATGAAATGAACAAATCTCCAACAAGGTCCATACAGCAAATACCTTTGTTTACTAAATATATTATAACTCCCCGCCCCTTCAAGTGGAAGGTCACCCTATTTTTTTTATCCGACATGAAGCATCTCACTAAACACGAAAAAATAAGTTTTTTGGGGTAAGTTTATTACACTGGTTTAAAAGCAACACATAGTGATTTATGAATACTTTCTTTGTTTGGTGTGCCAGCTAGTGTAACATGTAGTGTTTCATGAAATAAAAACCAGGGTGACTTTCCTCAATGTAATGTAAAGAAACTCAAGATACATTCAGTACATTTTACATAATTTTCATTTTTGAGGGCCAGCATACCTTAGCACCTTTCCATCTTTCCCTACTGCCAAGGCAAGAAATATACACAATTACATTTGACGAATAGGGGGAGGTAGTAGGGGCTCTGGTCTATTGTGAAACTGTGCATGCACACTTAGTGTTCCCCTCTGTGGATGATTTGCATGGAAAACTCCTGGATCTGCTCTTCTTGACATTCAACTCGTTGCATATTTTCCTGCAATGTTATAAAAGATTCAATTTAGCATCACTATTTCTGTATTAACAAAATAAGCCTTTTTAAGTGAATAATTAATCAAATACAGAATTTGGTTAAGCAGATTTTGCCAATTTACACGAATAAATACCATAATAGCAAATATGTTTTATAACATTTGCTATTTGGCTGGTAGGCAGAGCATACTGTGGTTTTCACCAGAAGTAGATTTCTCAAGTTGAAAGTCACAGGGTCATTCTGTTCCACATTCTCTCTATCTTGAAACATTATACTGTAATGTGTAGTAATCACACTATTATAAATTCAGAACATTAAATAAAATTTACATAAAATGTGGTCAAATTATTGAAATACATTTTTTTATTATTTTGTAATATTTTTTGACTGAATGGTATAACAATAGCAAAATTTATTTGGATTGAATAAATGAAACTAAACTAACCTACAATTTTCTCTGAATGTTTTGTGGTCAAATACCTTTCCCAACATGTTGTGTACCATAGAAAAAATCCCTCCACATCATCGGTTGTTGAAGCTCTTGGGTGTTCTGGGCCACCATATATGTTATTAAGTTTTCGTCTGTTAGTTGGGCTCCCTATATTGGCTATTAGTTCTATAATGACTTCCCTGGAGAAACGTCTTATTCCTTTAATGGGCCTACAAATTAAACATAAAACACATGCTGGATGAGATTGAGGTGAACTTTGGAGGTGGGGGGGGCTAGGAATGTATGCACTGAAAGGAACCAAATAATACAGACCAGTGTGTCCATATGATAATCCACAACCTTTTTTACTTTTACCTTTGACTTTTATTACTTCAAGACAGTAATACAGCTATTTTCATAGATACAAGTCAGTTGCTTTTGGACATTCTGGATTGACTTATTGCAACAATATTTAGAGACATCACACAGTCAAAAGATGACTGCCAGAGTTTGAATACTTCAAAATATTTCATAGCTAATAACAAAGGGAAAGTGACAAACATCACATTTGTATATATAAACTGCAAATAATTTACATGATTTTAGATACCTGGAGGATCAATTAAGCCGGATAAAATAGCCTCTCAACATCACCAACATTCTGTTTGCGCTTCCCTGTGAGTGCAGTATATGTTAGACCTAATGGGAAAAAATCAGCGACTAATTTTGAATACCAGTAAATGTTATGAAACACTAGCCAACATTTATTGCTTTTTGCCTTCTTGGTTTAGTGACCTCTAGTACTTCAATCAGAAATGATTAACATGTTTGCAATACTCATGGTGAGCATCACAATACAATATGTACGTTGATTGAGATTTGCTATCAAAACTCATTTTTTAGCTTTTGTGTCCGACACATCCTCCAAACACACACATGTACCACTTCTACTTAGTATTGCAAACTGGGAAAGAGTACACGTTTCTTAAATTGAGGATATCTTAGATATTCTTTTGGGGCAATATATATATATATATATCTGTTCTATTTTTATAGAAGAACCTTCCCAAATAAAAAAAATTCTAAAATTTAAAAATATAAGAGGTAGTCACTAAACCATGTACTTTCACACTCAAACAAGAGAATAGACATGTTGGTGAACTAGCCTTGCACTGTGAGTGTTTTATTGTTTACACTCCAGTTTTTTTCACAAATAAAAAAATTAAAAAAAAAAGAACTGCAGACCACACTTCTTTATATTTTTAGTGGGCAAGCCATGTTTCCA